CAATCTGATATTTGAAAATACATATGGAGGTCATTTATAGTACATAAAGTAAGCCATATTTGAAAATCTATGTTCTTTATAACTTCTGGAAGCAAATATTACTTCTTTCACATTCATGCCACAACTACTTGCTGCTTTAAACATAACCCGAAACAATTTGGCTGTTCCACAATTTTTTTAATCCAGAAATAATCCAGTATTAAGGAAACCAGCAACTGAAGATACAGTAATTCCTCCACTGTAGATCAAATTCTTACTTAACAATGCTAGAGTGTTTATTTATGTATTTATTATATTTCCATACTATATTATCAACTCCACAAAGAGAAAGGTCTGTATCTCTTTTGTTCAACAGTTAGTATCTATCACCTAGAAAGTTCCTGGTACAAAGCTGACAGTCAATAAATACTGAGTAAAAAATGAAAAACAGGGATGGAGAAAATGAAGGTAGAGGCCTACAGTTATCCAATCACCTTAAATATTATTTGTATGATTTTGGAAGAAATTTTTTTTTAAATTCACACTTTATTTGATCAAGTTACTGATCTAACAATTTATAAGTCTATCCAAGAAAGTAAAAGATTTAAAAGTTTCCAAAGGTAAATACTTACAAGATAACATAGATGAAACATGAAAAAGATGCTAACTAGGATAGAAAATGGTATTTATATAATGTATACATGGAAAGGCAGTCAAATCATAGGAAATAAAGGGAATGTGCTATATAATTTCTACAATGTAAGTTAATCTTATAACAATGATTATAATACTAATCACAAAACATTAAGCAAATATACACTAGTTCCTCCTCTAGTCATGCACTATGGAAAGTATTGCATAACCAAGTACCAAAGTATCACGAGGCCTATCATCTTTTAGATGAGATCTAAGTACTTTTATAATTGTAGAAATATAGATTTTTGTAGGAGAAAAAAAAATCAGTATTCTTGGAACCAGCAAAAATGTTTTCATGGTAACTGTTTAATTGCATTCTAGTATTAATTGCATTTTTGTGATATTCCACAAGAGTTTTCTGATACATGTTATCATTGTCTATCGATAGAAGGAAATGTATGGCACCCAAATATTATTAGTATAGGTAATATTTGCACATGTTAAACACAGTATGAAAGAAACATACTTGAAAAACATTCATTTTCTTATAAGTGAAGGCTTAACTCTGGTTCCAGTTGGCCTGGTAAGTGTTTCTGTCATTTCGTTGGTCTAGCCCACACATACTGGGCTTTTGATAGGTCCTGGGCTCAACCATCTGGCCCTTTATTTGCTTACTTCTTTTTTAATACTGACAAATGAATTAGTAACACTTCCTTGATCACTAGTAAATATAGAGCTACCACACAACTAAAATCTTCTCTAATTCTGAAAATCACTAATTAGTTGTAGGTAGGAGTCAGAGAGCATTACAAAGATATTTTGAATGCTACTACAATAAGTAATGTAAGCTCCCCCCACCCAGCATGTTAATTTACTTCCTACTTCATTAGAAGAATAAAAAACATCTTGTCACTACTAAAAGATACAAAAAGAGCCTGAATATTGGGGGAAATGGCAGATATAGAGCAAAACTGAATGTAGCATTTTGGCAAGAAATATAAGTTCCCTCTATATCCTGCTTTTTTTGGATATATTTTGATTAATTATAAGTGTGTTTCATGAGTATATTTTATGCAATTAATAAACACAAGCTTCCAAAAGAAACAAAATAAATGATTTATTTTTTAAAAAACTGATCATTCTACTCATATTTGAGTACATTAGATAAGTTTAGAAGCCATATTAATCTTTTCTTGTCAGTAAGGCCTGAATTACTTAATCTTGTGGAATAAAATATAGTCTTTTATAAAATATATTTATTTTTAGCTTTTTTCTGTTGGATGACAGATAGTCTAATTATTAGTTTTCCATAGTAGTTAGACTTTTCATTGAACATAAGTTGATCATTATGTTTATTAATGCAAGAACTGAGTTTAAAATATTATAACTGAATTCTCTGAAACAAAGAATTCTTTGTAAGATTGAGTCAGTTCTCACTTGTAAGATCAAACAATGGAACATCAAGCAAAAGCCTTTTCAGAAATTGTTTTGAGTTTAAGTCTTTCTTCCTTGATAATACAAAGTATGGAGAAAAGCAACATTCTCATACAGTACTTAGCCAAATAACTAGAATCTCAACTAAAAATTTGTAAAACTATGGGTTGTTGAGTACTATAATAAGTAATCCCTTATTCATTTTTATAAATAACAAAAAATGGGTATTTGGTTCATATACAGAAATAAACTGATAAAATGATGAAGAACATGATAAACAAGGGAGGGAAAGCACATTGTTTAACATGTAATTCAGAAACTATCAAGCTGAGCATGTCTTATTCTTCTATTGTATAAAAAAAGAAAAATAGATGATTTTTAATACAAATTAGCAAAAACATAATAGGAGCCTTGTGTCACAATGGAATTTAGCTCCTCTAGACAGTGATCAGCTAAAATGGAACAGAGACAGCAACAAAACTAGTTGACAGAGTTACTATTCATAGCAGGTATGTAAGGAGTTAGGGCAGCAATGTTGGTGGCCTCTACTCATCAAGCAGCTTTGCCAGTACAGACTGGATGCCTGGAACCAGGCAAGACACAAAAATAATAAAATCTAGAGCCAGCTGAGGGAAGATTCAATGCCAACCATTTCCAATTTTAAATATTACTAGAAATTTACACAAAGTAGTGTTTTCCCTTGGGATTAGCATATATTGTGTTTACAGAATGTTGACCAACACTTACCTCCAACTTAATCTCACTATGCAGAATAATATTCCTTAAACACTTATCTAAAAATTCCCAATACAACATTAGTTGGCAAAAATTTCTATTGATAGGGTTGACCATGAACAGATGGTCAAAATGAGTCCATTTCAATGATAGTACATTATGTGAGTCTTTTTATCCTGAACAGTCAAACAAACAACAAAAAAAAGCACAACACAAAAGAGGTCATTGTGCCCTCCATCATTTGGCTGGCAGCTTTATTTGTGAAATATGAAAATAAAAAACCGACACACATTATAATCTTACATATGTTATATAACATTTAAATGAATAGTTAAGTATTTATGTTAAAAAATCTTGGGATTTGTGGAGATGCAGAAATATGCAAGATACTTTTATTTTTCAACCCAAAGATGTACAGTAAAAGCAGAAAAATAAAGTAGACATATTTCTCATTTTTTTACCCAATGGTGCATAAAAAGGAAATTTTAACTATTTGTATTTAGTTCTCTTAATGAAGCCTCATATGTATTTTTTGAAAAGCAAATACCTATATTAAAATCTCTCTTTAAAAGGTTTTTCTTTCCCTCTCTCTCCTCTTCTGCCCTCTTTTTTTCTCTCTTTTTCTAAAATTTCATTACTTTACTGAATAATTCTAAATATAAAATCCAAAATAGTACTTCCTTCAGCAGCATATACACTAAAATCCAAAATAGTCATAACCAATTGAATTAGTCTACCATACATGGAATCACAACTGCTAAATTTTACACCAAGAGATTTCTTTAAAACACACATACCTGCATGCAGTAACCAGATTCTTAGAAAGCTAACTTCATTTCTATAACAAACTCAAAGTATATTTTTATTTTGATTTTGTGAAATAAAAATAAATATAATGAGGCAAAAAATACACAAATTAGGAGTATATTTCCATCTATAATACCTAGTAGTAAAAACAGCCAAAAAGTGCTGCAAATTATATTGCTAAAATGTATCTACGTGTGTGGATGTGAAAAGTTAAGTAAAAAGAGAATTCTGGTTACCTACCTTCAGAAAGAGCTGATGAGATATGAGGTTTAAGAGTACATCTTTAGTACTTCTGTACCTTAAAATATTGTAGAGTATTAATTTTTCATCAAGTTGTCATTTTCTCTGACATTTGGTTTTATTAATCAAGGCATTTATCATTAATTTGTAGAAAATATCATAATTAAGCCAAATAAAATAAAATCTTTAAAAGGTTAAAATTAGAAAGCAGGTGAATTAGAACTTCGACATTACACTGTTGACACACACAAGCTTTTTGGAAGTATGGAAATCAAGTTTTTTCAGAGTTTGGTACCTCAATCTTGGGGCTGGCTGGTTTTTTAAAAATGTTATAAAGACTTGATTTAAAGCTCTCTGACAGTTTTGACATTCAGGTGAAAGTACTGCTGCTGCATTTGGAACAATTTGCATATCCCACTGCTAAACGGAATGTTTGAGGTGTGCACTGGTGTACAGAAATTAAAAACAAGCTATCACACATGCTTAAGTGTATGTATTCACAAAACTGATGGCTGGATCTTATCCACCCCATCCCCCTCCAACGTAAACTATGATTTACTCTTCTATAATAAATTACCCTACCATATTATTCTTGCTAGAAAAATCTAACCATGCATGTAAAAAGCAAAGTAATTACAGCCCCCTCTCGTCTAAGAAACCTACTTCAAGCCCTATGAGCTCTTTATACACAATGCAGCAACACAAGTCTATTGTCAATTTCTTGCCTGAAATTCTGGACTTCTGTCTATCAGTTGCCATTAAATGTCACCTGAAGAGTTCTGTTGTCCCCAACAAATACATTTTTATCTCTTGTAGTAAGTTGTAAAGCAATTCCTGAGGAAAAATGTGTACTTTCTTTTTTCTTGTGAGCTGTTAAGTCTACTTAAGGAAAAAACAAGAAGAATTACAAACTAAAAAAATGAAGGAATAAAATATATTTCTACATAGAAGAAGGTGTATAGCAACACCCAAGTAGGCTGAAATATTCTGAGATAACCCAAGGTTTATTCTCTTGTATTTATAATTTCAAATTATTTTAGGTTGATATATAAAAACATTTAATGTGTTAAAAGGCAATAAAGACCCGAGATAGTAAATCTAAGGCCTTAAATATCATGAAGCATTTTGAAGAGATAAAATCCATTCAAGAAAACATTATTGGACATTACCTTCAGCCTTCAGACTCTCAAAGGGCAATTCTTAACACTTCTTTTTATGTATCTAAAAAATAAATACTTAAAATTAGAAATCTGTCAAGGAAACATTTTGCAGTTCCATCACGTGTTTCTGAGGAGTAGATGGTTGAGTTTGTACATGCCAGTTAATATCAGTACTTTTTAAAAGAAAGTAAAAGCTAACACATTTGGATGTACATGTGCAGTACAAGTATTCAGTAAAATGTGGCACATATATCCAACCTAAATACTGATATCAGAACATTGCTTTATATTTCCTGTCTTAGCAGCAAAGCTAATAGAAGAGTCCTATTCAGACATGGAGGTAGTAATGCCCATCGAATGGGACAGTTACTACCAAATTTCTTTCTACCCAATGCATTGCATATTACAGAATTGAAACTAATACTGGGAGCTGTTGATCAGGCAGCATGTTAAAGGTGCCTTTGAAGACAAATTGATGAGTTTGACTATAAAATATGTAACTAGAAACAATTCTTCTATTAAAAATTGAGTTTGATATTATATATGTCCTTGGAAAATGATTGCTCTAAATATGCTATGAAATCTCAGTGATGACCTTGATGTCATATTTACTAACAATCTCCACAGAGATTCAGCCAAAGTCTCAAAAGCAGTTTTACTAATGGAAATGCAACATACAAACATGCACTAATCTTATAAGCCAGTATATATCTACAGTGAAACACCCCTTAAAATAAAAAGGATTTTAATTTACTAGATCATTAATATACATATGCAATATCTTTGCAAAGGGAAAACAAAGAAACAACAAACCAAATTTATATACCTGAGTTTTAGGGTGTATTAATAGACAAATGAGGTACAAGAAACGAAAATGGCAGTGCTGTTATATTCGGTATAAATGGGCACTATTACATTTTTTTTGCAATACAAAATTTAAGGAAAGACATTGAATATTAGAAATGTGAAGATTAAGATCAGAGCCACCACTAATGACAGATATACAGAATGATTAGCAACTGATAAAAAATATTTAGATTGTAAAGGCAAGGTGGGGAAAGATACCTTGGAGAAAATTTATGTGGTCATTAGTTGATTTATACAATATTATTTATCTGCTATCTGTCTCCTCCACTAGAATGAAGTACCATAAGCACAGGGACTTGGTCCTTTTCACTATATCCCCATTCCTAAGACTAGTGCCTGCCATATACAGTACTTAAAGATCAATGAATATTTACTGAGTGAAAGAATACAGTTTAAAAAGCCTATGAAACAGCTATTAAGTATACATCTATGAACAGATAAAGAAAGTTAAGCTTACAAGAAGTTATGTTATGAATTAAATTAAAGTACACTTTAAAAACTCTAAACTCCTCATTATTTATTCTTCCTTTCAATATTATTCTAGCAAGGGAAACAATAAGCAAATAAGTTATTAGGCTTATGATGTCATATAAGTAGTACATTGAAGGCAAATATACAAAGTAAAATCACTGAGATTTACACAGGCTGATATTTTAGATAGGTTTGGACAGGAAAGTTTCTCAGAAAAGGTGACAAAATGAAAAAATATTGAAGAAGTGAAGAAAAGATTCAAAAAATATCTTGGTACTATCTGGGCTGTGGTACAATTAAATGAGATGACACATATTACCTTGCTTACTTAGTATAATGGTAGCATACAGCAAACGCTGCACTCAGTAACTATTATTTTATTATCCTGCTATTGCTTTTTACAAATTATAGATTTTCTCACTAGATTAAAACTTGGTCAATGGTATTCATCTTTATTTTCCCTAAATAGTGTCTAGCAATAACTCAGTAAACCTTTACAGAACTGAAAGGAGGAAGACATAATTATCAGTTTGTTAATTAGAAAAAGTAAACAGACTATGTGATTATGAAAAAGTCACCATATTTCGTATGCCAAAATCAATCTGTTAAAGTAGTATCACATAACAAATATTATGTCCTAAATGTAAAAAGAAAAAGGAAAATTTATAAAATGGTTAAGCCCAATAGGTTGTCAATAACAAAAGAGTAGACTGACTTAGAGAAAAGAAATAAAGTTACCAATGGTAGGCCACTATACTGATCGTTTACATATAGTGTCTACTGCTATCAGGTTAACACATTTTCACAGAAGAAAGACTGCTACACTTCAGTATTCCTAATGTGATGGCAGAGCTTGATATATAAAAACCATTAAAAATTTTCTTGAATTGAAAAATTATCTTTAATAGTTTTGACTAAGTTAGCTAAAACCTACCAAAACAAGAAGCCTAGACACTGACAAATGGAAAAGTAAACTTAAACAGAAAAGATACCAAATTTTAAGTCTCAGTCCTACAGTAAAAGAATAGTGAATAAGGTAAGTTTTTACCAAAGACTGACATATTATGATATTGGCCTTGAAGTAGAAGAGACCAGAATAACTCCAATAGAGGAATAATCACAGGTAAAATTTCCACAGAGTATTTTAGATAAATGACTCATTATATGGGGAAAATGAATTCAATATCCTATCTCTAACCAGGTACCAAAATATAAATCAGTTTTCTGTATCTAAATATACAAAACAAACCAATCAAATGTTTCTAAAGAAACATAGTATAAAATTTTCTGAACTCCATGATAGTAAGGATTTTTAGGGCATAAATACTGTAGTATATAACAAAATAAAGAGTTAAAAATTTCACTATTTAAAATTTTTCATATATTTAAAATACCTTTAACAAAATTAACCAGGTACCAAAATATAAATCAGTTTTCTGTATCTAAATATACAAAACAAACCAATCAAATGTTTCTAAAGAAACATAGTATAAAATTTTCT